GACGATGGCTGTTCATTTGCTGAAGGAGGCTGGTTGTACGGTTTATCATTGTGCAATTTAGTGTTGTGTCGTTTTCCACACTTATTGCAGTTGCCACCACGACATTGGCGAACCTGATGCCCTGGATATAAACAATTATAACATAACTTGTTTTTAAAGACTACGGCTTGGCGTTCAGTGAGGGACATTTTATTGAAATTTTCGCACAATGCTAATCGATGATGTTCGGGACACACTATGCATCTTCTTTCCTTAGATGGACTGTTGTCCTTTTGATGGGCAAATAAAACCTTTTTTTGCATTGAGCGTTCGCCACTAAGTGGTTTAAGTTGGGTSGACYGRTTACCAACCTCACCGACTTCATAAGCAGAAACTCGATTTGCCAGAAATTTTTCCAAATCACGAAATTTCGGGAGTTCCTTTGATGTTTGCAGCAGCTGCCATTCACCAACGGTAGTAGGATCTAATCGGCAACATAATAAGGTCACCAACYATGCATCCCACTCATGTATGTTTTGACCGAGTGCCTGCAATGCATYAACTTGGGATACTACATGGTGGTGTAACTGACGTAGTTCGCTGGCAGTAGGTCTATGGACTTGTGGTGTCTGAAATAATGACCGTATATGCGACTGTATAATGAGTGATTTGTTCTCATATCTTTCAACTAGAGCATTGTAGGCTGTGGAATAATTTACATCAGTTGTAGGAATGGTACGCACWACTTCCGYAGCAGGACCGACCAGACAAGATTTTAAATAGTGTAAACGCTGTACATCAGATAATCCTTGGTTGTGATGAAACATCGCATTGAATGCATCGAGGAATGATACTCAATTTTGTAGATCACCATCAAAGGTAGGAGCAGGAATGAACGGTAATTTCATGGAATCCCGAATGATAGGCTGCGATGGTGTACTGGAGGTGTTGAATGGAGCCTTAGAATAGCGCTCAACTAAATCTAAAATCTCAGCCTTAAGTGAACAGAAAAAATCATCAACACCAGTTCTGTGATCTAGCATTTCAACCGTAACTGCTGCATGACTTTCAATATCATCTTGACAAGATTCATATTTGGACATRTATTGCATTAGACTGTCCAGTCTAGTTTGAAGTTGGTTCAGAGATTTGGTAGCAGGGTCATACTTGTCTATRAATGTTTTAATTGCATMCATAGACCTTTTGGCAGAATCTCTTTTGTTGATCATCTTGGTTAACTCAGGCGGAAGTCGTTCGTCGTTGACTCCTATCTTGATAGAAGGTTGAAGATTTTACAATTGTACAATAATATAAAATGACGCACTAGTAATGGAACTAATTAACATATAATATCCACAAACGATACGCCTTTAATGTATAATAGATAATTGAGATCTAATTGATAATAAAATAATTTTTTTTTTGTATATGCTAGACTAGTAACATGTTCACAAAGGAACTTGATTAACAAAATAATTTAATTTACCAACAATACTTTAATAATCAATASCAAATATGAATAATAAAATTAATGTTTTTTGTATACATGAATGGCGCACATATATATAAGGCTTAAGAGTCAAAACTTGATAACAAAGATGAGTAGTGCGTTTACAAGTCACAAAATATAGGTAAGATTACCACCGAATTACAATATTATAATAATTAAAAATACATAACAGCACTGCTTATTGCATAAAGGCAGTATAATAGTAAACAATTAACAGTTACCAACACAAGTGAAGTTTTAATATAATATAACTAACAATCACGTCGAGGTCACCAAATGTTGGCTCGCGTTTATCCTTCTATAATTTTACTAGGGAAGACTGTCACGGCTCAGGAGATAGGCAATTTAATATGGCCTATTGATGCTGTTGAGTT